GTCCATGATATTGAAAATACATAAATCCTCTTGAAAACAAAGAAAATTGTCACATTCATACAGAGCAAGTTGCACTGCTGCCTGCTAGGCGCTGATCACAACTCATATCTTAACTCCCTTTCCTGACACGTTTGCCGAAGTGGTGCACCCATTTGTTGAAGTAGACGTGCTACCCCGTATGTCGAAGTGGTTCTAACCCATTTGCCGAAGCGGTTCATATCATATTATTTGCCAAAGAGTTGCACTAACGTATTATCCGGATTTTACTAAAGCGACTCATTGCCCAGCTCTAATAGTCGGAGCAAAACGGCGGGAATTTAATAGTCGCGTCTAACTTCTGTAGATAAGTGGGCAAAAACCCGAGTGAATACACCTTTTAAAAAAAAGAATATGTGAGGCAGCGTGGTGGAATCAGGTTCTCGTCAAAATAATCAAAGTGCAGAAACTTGCATATTTCCGCTGGTTTGTGAATTTTTATCAAATTTTTGTTTTTTTGCTCAACACCTTTCATGCCCATTAAAGAACTCATTTCTCTGTAGATTTTCTGAAAAGCGTAGATTAAAAGCACACAAAAAATGTCAATTTTCAGTTACCATGGACTCTTAAGCTAAGGAAATAACTAATCTTTGGCTGCCATTTTCTCTCTAATTTTTCCTCTGAAAACAGGTGACCCTCACCTCCTTCATTCGCAAATATCTCAACTTGTATTCAAGATTTTAAAAAAAATTTTCATCCAAAGAAAGACAAGTGAACAAGCTTTAAGATCATACCCATAACTCTACATGTCCAAGTATTGACGAGAGCCTTATTCCACCACGTTGCATCACATACTGAAATAGGCTACAGACTTTGTGAACTCTCAACTGTACAAGATCGTAATGTTCTTGTTGCTCTTGTGTAGATTCAATACTCTTTTCGACACTGTGAGTTTTTAGAGTTGCTTTTTTGAAGAAAAAAAATTAAGTCGGGACCTTCGAATCTAACATCCGTCTCCGATAGGACAGAGCAACATTGGGGGAAGAGCCTTTATAATACCGTAAATTAATCAAACTTCTGAGCCCCCCCC